CACAGAAGAGTACTATTGCCCTGTTGATTTTTCTTTTTTAATTCCTTTCACATTTTGTTTGATCTTAAGCCAAAAGAGGAAATAGAGTCTGAGTGCCAAAACTTGGAATGATAATTAGGGCCTTTCCTCCAACTGGCTGGCTGTAAGCAGGCAGTGAGAGCTTTTTTTCTAGGAAGTAGCAATCTGTAAAAGAAAAAAGACCAAATGTTTTTTGTTTTGTGCCAAATGTAGCTCTAGTTCTAGCAGTATTTACACTTCAAAAGGGCTCTTGTCTAGACACAGGTATTCATGGTGAGATGATATAACCATCCTACCCAAGCCTGGGGGAAAGCCATGGGTAGAGAAAGATTAAACAGTGGTTGGCCATGGTTGAAATTTAGAGAGAATGACATGTTGAAAAAATGTATTTATATATCTGTTCAATAAATACTTGATGACATATTAGGTATTAGTGACATAGGGCAGACCCTGTCCTAGGTGATGCAAATGCATTGATGAATGAACCAAATCATCCACCCTCGTGGAGCTACAGGCTGTTGGAACTATAACTACTTGTTTGTTTGTTTTTTAGATCTTGCTTTATCAATGTATCTTTCAAATAGAAATTATTACTAGTTACTGGTTATGTTGGGAAAACAGTAATTGTTCCCATTTAATAAGGGGTAGAAGAGCTGTCTGGTCCCCAAAGCCCTGATTAAGCCGCACCTCTCAATAAGCATTTGTAGAAGTATATTCTAATTACAGATGATATATCAAGGAGAAAATGAATAAATTCATTTATATTCTGCTTAGGAACCCAAATCTAACAGGTAAGACTAAACATAGGAACAGACTCATAGGGAAAGTTCTACATTAAAAAAAATAAATAAAATTTCTAGAACACCTGATATTTTGTGAATGTTCCTTCATGATCCACACATACATAAATAGCACATTGGAATCTTCTCATTTACTGTTCATATTTACTTGAAAAACTAAATATAAAAAGGGAAAAAAAACAAAACTGTTAACTTTTCCTGAAACTTCAGAGGCTTTTGAATACAAAGGACAGAAAACAGTTTGCAGTGTGTCTTGTCAATAACTACGGTAATTATTTGGTATGATAAAGATGCTGTAAGATGTGAAATAAACAAACAATTGTCCTAATTTTCAGTAAACATTATTATTTTGGGGTCTCTGTTTCTCAAGTCGTCTATTGTTCAAAATTTTATTCCTCTTTCCCTTTGAATACCAGAGCTAATGACTGAAGTGCTCACAGAATTTCCCTTTAAGTAGCCTTCTCAAACCCCACCGTTCAAAGCCACTTGAAACACACATAATTATAAAAGATGAGAGCCCAATTATTATCTTCTCTCCACCCCCTATCCTCACAGGTGCCTGGCTACTTCAAGAGTACGAGCTAATCACAGGGAAGATTCATTCTCAGTTCAGCTGCCTCATTTGATCAACTCAAGTCTGAGTCCAACAAAAGTGGTGTATCTAATGAAACTAATTTTCATTTTCTCTCCTTAGTTTATAAAAAACTGAGGATATGAAAGGACAAAAGAAATTGTGAAGAATGACATTTAAAAAATAATCTTCTCTGACCTTTTATTTGACCTTTTATTTTCTTCTTTTACTTAGTTATTGTGCCTTTTTTTTTTCCCCCTTTCTCATTCTCTGGGGCTTGTCTTTCCCTGCTTTTCTCCTCTATGAGGAGGGAATTAAAAAATTAAAAACACCATGGCCTGAGTGCTGAGATGACCTGATAGGGCTCCAGGGTTTCAGCTCTGCCGGGGACCAGAATGCTGTGCTCGGTCAAGGAGGCTGACATTGGCACAGTCGTCCCAGAAATCCAGGGGAGTCTTTGCACAAGGACAAACGGAAGGAGGCAAAGTTAGAATATGTGTGTGTGTATAAAATTGTGTAATTGGATATTTTTGCTTCACATATAATAATTATACATTGCTGCCAACTTTTCCTCTTAAAGGCTGCTATTATGTTATTCAAAATTCATTGCCTAGTAAAGCTGCAATTCACCTAATTCACCTGTTTTGTTTACTGTAACACAAAAGAGAAGAAATTGAGTAAGCCTTCTCTCCTTTAACACCAAAATCAAAATAAAGGGAATTTAGAAAGAAAACAAGGACCTTGCGCCAGATAGCTTTTAATTGCAAGTAATGGAAAATTTGAGTCCAGTTGACTTTTAAAAAGGCAGGGCAAGGGCGGGGGAGCGGGTGTCCTATAAAACAAAAAGTCCTGAAATAGGTGAAGATTAATCCCACGGATCAACAATGACCCCCAAAGAACACATTTCTTCCCTTCTCTCCTGTCTTCTGTAATCATAGGCTGGCTGCCCACAGCCAGTGGGAATTATTTGCTCCTTATTCAGGTCCAGCAGGAAAACACAGCGTCTAGCACAAGTTCTCCTGGGGGGTCAAGTAAACTTCTTAACATAAACCCTTAGTAAGTGTCTGGTTGGTCCAACTGGTCACATTCTCTGAACCAATCACCATGGCCAGGAGGATGAAACTTGAGTGCTGATTGGCTGAGCCAATCAGGACCCGCACACGGAGGTGGAGGTGGGGTCAGTGCACGTGCTAGAAGGGTGAGATACCGATGCCTGAATGTTGAAAAAGCCAAGCAAAAGGGTGAATGGACTCTGGGAGGTTCAAAATAGAACATACTCGTCTCAGAGTTGACAATCAGACGACTCGGGCAATTCTCAAAATGTCACTCACGAAGTGATGAGTAGTGATGCAGTAAACATTAATTAAACAATGCTAAAAAAATCTAGTAAAATGAGTTTTACATATGTAAGATGAATTTTTACAGAAGGTGAGTTTTACACATGCGCAGTGAATGTATTATATATATATATTTTGTATTCTGTATATTATGGTGTTTTTTGAGATCTTAAAAAGCCTTTCTGACTAGGGAGAGACTGGCCCTCCCTGGAACAGCCAGTTCTTAGAAAAAGCAAGGCATGCCCTTGATTAGCCAACTAACCAATCTAGAGCCACACCTCATCTGTCTGGCCCATACACCCTAGGAGGGAAGAGTCCTCTACCTTAATCATCCCAGGGCGAGGTACCAGGCACCTAGGGACCACTCCTATATTTTAGAGCTTCCTGAAATGATTCAAACTAGACAGTCTTCATCTGTTTCTCTGCCCTACCTTGCCTTTCCCTCAGAAACCCCAATAAAGGCTCTAGCTGCAGTTTTCCCCTTGCTTTTGTCACCTGACCAAAACCTGGTGCCTCCCCTTTGAGCTTGCCGGGCATGGAGGCACCCCTCTCCAGAACCTCTGACTACAATTAACATTTTCCTTAGCCTCTCCTGTGTCTCCTCCTCTGGTTGCATTTGACTGGCCATCACGTAAGAAAACACAGAATAGTGAATTAATAGACTGGTTTTATATCTCAAGAAGAATAGACATTCAGGTACCTGGATTGTATGAGAATTACATCTTATTCAGTTATCCACAAATTATGTAATGACTAGTCATGCCATCCCTGTAATGAAGATCAGTCTGTGGGTATGAGGTATCCAGGGGGGGACTGAGGACAGCAAGCCTGGCAGGGCCTATTGCCCACCTTATAGCTCTCGAAGTATTCTAACATAGACCTACAATGGTGCTGACTTTAACACAACACAGGGTCCCCTTTGTACATCAGAGAGAAAGTTCTAGATATTGGATATGTCAAAAGATCTTCAACTTAAACAATGATTTCCTCATTGTAGTAAGTAGAGTGTGTGAATCTTACTCTACAAATCTGAAGATGCAAAAACAATCACATTCCTCTATTTTTTTTGAAGCAAACTAAATCTTCTTTCTTCCAAGATGACAGAGAATGTCATCTTAGATATTAGAAGATTTTTCATGCTCACTTTCTTCTCCTTCTCCTCCTGACCTTTCTTCTACATTTACCTCTATCTGTTTTCCACAACCATAGTCCCTTCAAACTGTTCAGTCTTCCAGAATTCATATCCCAGTAAATTTTTATTATACTTTGAGATAAAGACCTTCAATGCAGTAATAGAGTATAAGGACCTAACTACTTCATTCAACAGGAAAAAAGGAAATGCAATGAGAATAAAACACAAATTAATGATTCAAATCATACTGCCACATATTACCTGGGGATATACTCTAAGAACGGTTATAAGTTTCAAGTTTCCTGTAATTTTATATTGTCCCACTCCCTCCCCCCTCCCATCCTCCCTCCCTGCTAAAAACCCCAAAAAACACTAGACTAGGCTGTCAAGGGAAAGTGTGTAAAATTCTTCTCTGGAGATCTTAATGATAAGCCTGACAACTTCCTGCCCTGGATAGTTTAGGGAGGGCCTTTCAGTTCTCCAAATTCTTTGCTTCTCTCAGCCTGTAGACCTTTATAAATGCCTACCACACTCTCTGTGAGGAGTGCTTCCCCACCTTCTCTGTCCTGTCTTCATCTCATCAATGATCCCAGCACATTCTGTGCTTTTCTTTTTGAGTACATAGAGTTTGCAAATATAGTTTGTATAAGATGTTCTATCTCAGATTCCAGCACAGTGCCTGTTAGAAAATAAGTGTTACATAAATGTTTATCAAACAAATGAATGTCTCCCCCAGTAGAAAGAAAATGGCTTAGAAAGAAAGAAGGGAAAAAACTTTTTTTTGGAGTGCTAGGGCTATGCCATGCTTTTTGTTCTCACAGTGACCTGAAATGGTAGATAGCATCATCTCCATTTTGCAGATGAGAAGCCTGAAGCTTCCGAGATTGTTTAACTTGCTTCTGATCCCAGTCAGCCAGTACTGAGAATATCTGGCTTCAGCTCTTAGTATGTTCTTCCCTGGTCTCATGATTTGTGTATTCCATCCGTAGCCTCTGGGGCAGTGAAAGTGAAGAATGGGAAATATTATTTTTCCTCCTTAGAAGGAATAGACAGAAAAGGAATCATTCGAATAAAAAGAAAAAAGGGAAGAGACATGTAAACGAGTACTGAAAATCTAAAGGGAAGCGTCTCTTTTTCGGCAGACCTGCTGCGCTGCCCCTGCCTTCCCCGTGGTCTGGAAACCAGCAGTGAATCTAGATCGCCACAGAGGACAAACAGGTACGTAGCAGGATGTTCAAGGTTCTCTGATGGCCGGGGTGCTTATTTCGGCAGTCAGAGGACCATTCCCTATGTGGACACTCTGAACTCAACCAGAGATTTACTTTCAGTCCATGAAAGTCATTTTATTAGGATGGCTTTTCTCCACACGTGCCCTGTGGCAAGTAGAGTAGTGAGCGAGGTTCAGGGCCGCCGCTGGGCTTGCCAGCACCAGGAGGGGGGATTTCCAGCTCGTATGCACATAGGCATTCATGGGCCCCGGCAGCGCCCCTCCAGTGCTTGGGCAAAGTTCTCCCGCCTTCAGGTCTGCTTCAGCCTTTCCAGCAAACAAAAGGACCATTTTTAGCGGTGCCCTTGTCAGCTGTTTCTCGAAGAATAGGGCCCTTGATAACATCCAGAAAAAAAGGAATTGTGCCACTGCCCCCCTCCCCGCTTCATTTACATAGCTGAGATTGATGATAAGGGAAGGAAAGTGTTTACAGTGCAGGAAGATAGGAATTTCGGGATTAAGTAGGAAGCAAACCAAAATGAGCTGTCTGGGGTACTTACAAAACACATATTTCATATGTTTTCATTAGATATTGCTATTCTACTACACAAGGCAAAGGAGTTTGATTAAACTACGGTTCAGTATATAAGTGTATGCATAAATTACAGCAAAAGCAGTTACTTCATTACATTTCAAGAACTCCTCAGGGACATTAAGTGAGTAGAAATTTCGTCATTAGATATATTGCATCGGAATCACACCGTGGTCAGGCGAAGAGTATGGAGGCACAGAATGGGTGACAAGGGTGCCCACGAGGCAGAGCCCAAAATAACCTGATGATCATGGATTAGAAAGAAAGAAAAGCCAAGGTGGCAATATGGTACACAATATGAGAAACCGTAAGAACTTTGGAGCTAACACTGACGTCTATTGAGAAATAATATCCTTAAAATAATCTTTACCTAAATCTTATAAAATACTTTACCAATACCCACTTTTTTTATGTATGCTAGTTGTACCTTTTTAACGGCCCAGGACAAAAAGAATGGCTCCTCCTTGTGCCAGGGCATCTTTGAGCAAGTGTTGGTGAGCTACTCTTATTCCTCAGGTAGTCAGAAGTGATGGTCATTGTTTCGTCTTCCCTGGATGGTTATTTGTCCATGAACCACACCCTCATTTGGTCCTTCGGAGGCTCTGCCTGAGTCTTGTCTCAGAATAGAGTCAAAGGAAAAATGGTTTTCTTCTGGCCCCCGTCATAAGCTTCTCTCTCCTCCTCAAACACTTATTGCTAAAGATTTTCCTTCATCAGCCGCTGTATCAAACTGAAGTGATTTATTATATTCACTCAACAAATATTCCTTCTGCAAATATTTGCCTACTAAGTGAAAGACAGAACACTTTACTTTCCTAGGGCTGCTGTAACAAATTATCACAAGCTTGGTAGCTGAAGACAAAGTAATTTATTGTCTCACAGTTCTGGAGGCCGGAAGTCCAAAATCAAGGTGTTGGCAGGTTGGGTCCTTTTGGAAGATGTGAGGATGAAACCATCTCATCGCTTGCTCATAGCTGCTGGTGGTTGATGGCAATCCTTGGCTTACAGACATCTCCACCTCTGTCTTTACAATGCTTTCTTCTTTATGTCCTTGTTCCTCTCCTTTTTCCATGCCTTAAAAGGATACTGTCATTGGGTTTAGGGCCCAATGGAATCCAGTATGATCTCATCTTGAACCTTGTCTCAATTATATCCGCAAGGACCCTTCCTCCAAGTAACGTCATATTCTGAGGTTTGGGATGTACATGAATTTTTGGGAAACACCATTAAACCCACTACCCAGATTAATTTGGACTTGGCTTGAGAAATTATCAGAGCTTTAAAGATCACAGTTCAGAGTTTATTTCATGTCCCACAGAGGTCTAATGTGTTAGCAATCGCATGAAGGAAGTCCTGATTGACACTCAAGAGGTTTGGCCAAATTGTCAGAGCAACGCCTTCAGACTGTGTCCAGGGGATTCTAGGTTTTGGATGAAGCATCTATTAGGACAGTTAGGGAGCCTCTATATAAATGATATTTCAACTAGAGCAGCTGGGCTTTTTCCTGTTTTATATATTGTGGTTTCATGTAGGAATTTATTTGTAAAAGAGGATCCACTTCAGCAAGGACTGAAAAATCAGTGGCCAAGAATTCCATTGCCCCAAAAGTGTGTTTTCAAGTAGGGAAACACATTGCAGGTTTCTAAATGTGGCCCCAAATTAACTCCAGCACCTCTCGAGTATCTGAGGGATGGCTCACGGGCTGGTTAGTTTCAAGAAAAGAGATAGCTGTCAGGGAAGGTCTAGACCATAAGGTGCTACTTGGATGGGGGACCTCTTTTCACCACTCTTTTGAAACCAGCAGCTTCAAATAGGACTGTAGACTATATTCTGAGAACAGAGCAAAGCATTTCATAAAAGGCTCTTCCCTGAATGCTTAGGGAGTGAATGTTCCCAGCTTAGAGTCAGGCTCATTCATTGCCCTCATACTGGCAACTGGCTAGTAAGCATGAATAGTATTGGGTTGAGAGAAGTAGATTCAGGTCGAGGTATGGTGGTGATTATTCAGGGAGTTGGGGAAAGCTTCTTTAACTCACATTCAGGCTTCTAAGCCCTTCAGCACCCCCAGAGCAGTGAGATTGTTGAAATTACAGAGGCTTTCTGGACTCTCACATCTGTTTATGAATAACCCCAAACCCTAAGCTAAGCAAATCTATTTAACTCAATGTAATTATAAATATGAGCCTTTATTATTCAAATGAATTCTTCATATGCCAGGAAAACCACCTTGCAAAGCTTATTAGGAACCACAGAACAAAAATCTTTGTTCGCAGAAATGGCAGATGTCTTAAAGCAAAACAAAGCAAAATAATAATAAAATACCCAACCTCCCCCAAATGGCAGCTTTTTATGCTAGATGAAGAATAGATATTTGACCTCCAAACCAGTGAGATGTCTGGAAGGGAAATAATGGTTGTTTGGCCACTTGCTGCTTCATCTTGATTAATAGGCTTCTACTTCTGTTGGTTTGGGATGCTCATTATGAAGCATTTCCTCTGAGATCATATGGAGTCAACTCTGAAGGTCCCCTTCCTCACTCCCTCCACTTCCTCACCCCACCGTTACTACCAAATAAAGAGCAATTCTAAAGTTTACATTCTCTGACATTACTTTGATCTTAAGGGCATGCTGGATTCTCATTCTGTAGTTTCTAATTAGTTTTGTTGCCTCGATTTAAATTTGTTTCTTTGGAGATGGGACTGGAAAAGGGGAGGGGGGCAAAGCACATGCTTTTGTCAAAGCATTCTCTATTTAGAATGATTTCAACCATGGGCATGGGGGGCGTGGGCATGGGGCTGTGTATGAGAGTGATGGCACAGAGATGAGGGCTTGTTTTAAAAAGTGGGGTGCTGGTCTTCAGAGGGAGTCCAGGTAACTGGTAAAAGGCACAGGTTCAAGAAGTTGACATGAGAAGGTTAGAAAGGAAAGAGCATCTTTGCTGGAGTATAGGCGGGAGGGCAGAGGGTAGGAAATTAGGTCAGGGAGACAGGTGGGGCCACATCACGAAGGGCCTTGCAGGCCATGTAAGGGAGTTAGATTCTCCCCACATGTAATGAGGATCCACTGGAAATGACATTTATGAGATCTATGCTTTAAAAAGATCCTTTGTTTATTGTGTGGATTATGAGCTCGAGAGAGACAGAAGCAGAAGCAGAAGCAGGAAGGCCAGTTAGGGGGTCAGTGTCATGGGAAGAGCACAGGGTTTACAATTGGAAAATCTATGTTTGAGCAGTGTGGTCATGGGTAAGCTTTCTGAGATGTGCTTTTCTCTCTCATTCACAAACATAGGAAACAGTAATAGCTACTTTGCAGGGTTATAAGGATGAAATAACATACATGGAAATGTTTGGTGAACTATAAACAGTAAACAAAAACCAGTTCTTAAAAATATTTCTATGACTATTACCTAAAAGTGTGTTTTTCAATATGATTCTCAGACCATCTGCATCAGAATGACCTGAGGCCCTGGTTAAAAGTACAGAGGTTTTAGTTCAGACTTCTAAATTTCTGCCCACTTTTTCTGATCCCCGGCGCTACTGTGACTAAGGCATCGTTGTGTGGTGATGTAGTTTGCAGGCTGGGGCAGGACAGCCCGTTTTCAAATGCTGGTTCTGCCTTGACAGTTTTCTTGACCTCTCTGTGCTTCGGTTGCATCATCTGTAAAATGGGAATGATTAGTCACTTTTTAAATTGGATTTTGAAGGGGCAAGTGAATTTGTGCTTACACAGAGAGATACATAGAGATCAACTCATGGTAACCACTAAGAGAACGTTAGCCATTGTTACCGTCCAGGAAGGGTCTGATGGGGAGCCAATGTCAGTGTTGGACACAACCATTCAAGACTAACCTTTTCACATGCAAAGACACAGTCCTTTGCATGTTTGGGAGGTGCTTCCCTACTTGCAGAGGTGACAGACATACGAGCATATCCATACATGGTGATGTGATAATTGGCACAATAAGCATTAAAAGAAAGAACTGTAGATAACAGAAAAGTCATGCTGGTGACTTTGGGTTTTAATGAGCATTCCATGCTGATCTCTTTTTTTTTTTTTTATTAGGCCTAGTATAGTATTCTTCTATCTTTAAAACTGTTAAACCTGGCTAGCTTAAATGCCAGTTAAAATACTATTTAAATATTTGGTTCTGAGAAATGAGCCTTGCAGAAGAAAAAGAATTGCAAAAGCTTTATTCCCTTTACTTTTCTCATAGGCTCCTCCTGGTTTGTGTTCCAGTAAACATTTATATTTATAGCTGACTGAATAAGCTTGCTTCAGTTTTAAAGAATTCAGTGCAGCCTGGCTTTGGATGTGGAAACACTAAGAGAGCTAAGAGCATGAGTATCAAGCCGAGTATAAAATGAAGGCTTGGATAAAGGATTTTTGAGTTTTTACTTTGGGTGTGGACTTTTTAATTTGGTGTTGGATCTTTGATGTATTCCATTAAATAATTTATTAAGTACTCATATAAAATTTTACATGATTTCCAGGAGGCATAACATACACAAAAATGCAATATATGTACCACGTGGGCTATGGTGGGGCAAGGCCCATGAATACTGTAGACATTTAGAAAAGGAAAAGAGTCAGGAGCAGCTTCATGAAGGATGTGGTTCTTGAGCTGGGCCTGGGAGGAAGTTTAAGAAAAAAACATATTTGATAAAGAGATACTCTAGTACTTGGTAAGTATAGGATACCTAACCAAAGTAAGTTGCTTTCCTTTATAAGACCTGTTATGTAATGAGAGAACAATTTTGAAGTTATAACATATTTCTGGAACTGATTCTTTCATCTCGGACAAACCATATTCTATGCTTATTATTACTTACTTTTTACAGTTTACAGGGACGACACACATTGGCATCAGGAGTGTGGGCTCCAGAATATTGCTTGGGGATGAAATATGGGCTCTACTGTGTCAATGTCACCTAGGTAGGTTAACTTTCTTAATTCTCATTTTTTCTAACTTTCAAAATGAGAGTAATAATAGTACTCATCTCATGGATTTTTTTTTTTTTTTTTTACTGGTGAATGTATTGATGGCATATTTAGACATAGGATTCGGTAGAAGTTGTGTTCAAATCAATACAAATGTTTTCTCTATATTTAAGAGCTCCACTCAAGAAAAGAAGTAGATTACATTTTAAAAAAAATACCACCAACATAAAATTGAATGTCAGGTAAGTAAATGTCTTCCCAGATTTACACAGTGAGTATTAATTCAGCCAAGCTAGAAATAATATGAGAAGGGTTTCCCACTCTATAATGCCATATTTTCCTTCCAAATGTGGTTCATGGCTATCTAGATCATGTCCACCTCTTCACTGCCAATTTAATTCTTGCTTAGTCTTGTTTCCATCCACATCTACTGTGAAAGGCTCTCAGAGGTCAACAGTGCCCTTTGAAAAAACAAGTCCTTTTTGACCTTGTATTGCACTTGACATCATTGTTCATTTCTTCCTTGAAATGGTTTCTGATGGCTTCCTTGATGTGGCACAATTGGTCTATGGACTTTTTCCATCTTTTTTTTTCCCCCCTGTTCCTGCATTCTGCCTCACTGTGATTTAATCAAGAATTTTCTTTAATGCTTACTTTTAAAAACTAAACTAGATCTATTTAATAATTAGGAAAAAACCAATGCTAATACTATAGCAGAAAAACCAGTATCAGTTGCCATAAACAGAAGATGGCTATTAAGATAAATAGGATTTGAACAGAACAGATTCTTAAATTCTAGACACATTTCTGCTAAAAACTTTGATCCTAAAATCCTTACTTTTTTTTTTTTTTTGGCTACAGAGGGATGCTAATGATTTTCAAAGAGGTGTTTCAACTCTTAATGCTTAATGGAAACTTTCTCCTTAATGTAATTCCAAGGATGGGAATTGTGTTCTCTCCATATGGCTAAATGTTACACAAAATCACATCTGTGTACTCTTCAAAATAATATTTTATGCACTAATCATCCTGGCCTCACACTCAGAACAAGCATATAGCATGAAACACAAATCCCTCAGCCTGGTGTGAAGGCCATAAGTAGCTCTCAGTTCTTTTCTTGAGCATTGCTATTATCCTTCTGCATACACCCTGTCCTGCAGTGAAATTGGACCACTGCCTACACATATCTGGAACTTTCCATATCTTGCTCATACTTACTTACATACTCTACTTAAAATGTTACCTCAAATGTTCCATTCTCTACCTATTCTCAAATGCTGCTTGAAGCCTTTCTGGATTTCTTAACTTGAAGCATTTGTTTTTTCGAAGATTCAGGAACTTATGCTTCCCTTGGGCTACCTCATCATTAAACTTATCATTCAATATTGTAATTATTGTCTGCATTTTTCTCTGGTAGGGGAGGCTGCATTCCTTAAGGACGTACTTACATTTACTCATCCCCAGCAACTAGCAGATGGGCTAGTACACAATAGGCACTTAGAAAATATCTATAGAATTGCATAATTAGGTTGGGTTTGGGCGAATCTGGCTTATAGTAATCAACTGTGTGCGGTATGATAGAAAAAAAAGTTACCTGGGAATCAGGATATCTGAATTTTCATTGTGAAACTGAGTGTCAATGGACAATTAGTTTTTCTGACCATTCAAGATAATATCACCTCTGTCTCTGTTTAGATAGAAGAAGAAAAGTTTAGGCATTGGGTACTTGAAAAGACTGGAAAGAATGCCACTGAGGGAGGAAAGAAGACTGAATGGAGTTCCAAAGGTAAATCCTGCCCAAAGAGGCCATTGGTCATGATTTGCTCTGAGTACCCAAGGCTCTTTGTGGTGGATACCTCTTTAATAAGAACAAGGGTATTATACACTCTCCCTTAAGAGACAAAACACTTGTACTCTGAACTCAATTTAACTGCATTTTTCATTCTTAAACTTCCTGTTCCTCATCTATAACAAATGAGATGTTGTGTGAAAAATTTAATCAGTGTTGAGTAGTACAAAGCAAGTGCTCAATAAAATATTAGTTTATGGGACTACACCAAAATAAAATTTTTTTCACAGCAAAGGAAGCCATTAACAAAATGAAAATGTAACCTAGTGAGAAGGAGATCATTTGTAAATAATATATCCAATAAAAGGTTAATATCCAAAATATTTAAGAACTTACACAATTTAACACCAAAAAACCAAATAATTCAATTAAAAATGGGCTGAAGATCTAAATAGACATTTTCCTGAAGAAGACAGATAGATGGCCAACAGACACATGGGAAGATGCTCAACATCACTTATCATCAGGGAAATGCAAATCAAAACCACAACAAGGTATCACCTCACACCTGCCAAAATGACTAGAACCAAAAAGACAAGAAATAAGGTGTCAGTGAGGATGTGGAGAAAAAGAAACCTTCATGCACTGTTGGTGGGAATGTACATTGGTGCAGCCACTGTGGAAAACAGTATGAATTTCCTCAAAAAAATTGAAAATAAAAATACCATATGATCCAGTAATTCCACTACAAGGTTTTTACCCAAAGGAAATGAAAACAATAATTTGAGAAGATATGTGCATCCCTATGTTTATTGCAGCATTATTTACAATAGCCAAGATAGGCAAACAACTGAAGTATCCATCAATAGATGAATGGATAAAGCTATAGTATATATACTATGAAATATTATTCAGGCATAAAAAATGAGATCTTGCCATTTGTGACAACATACATGGACCTAGAGGGTACTATGCTAAGTTAAATAAGTCAGACAAGGACAAATAACCTATGATTTCACTTATATGTAAGTCTAAAAAACCCCAAAACAAATGAATGAAAGAGCAAACAAAGAGGAAACACCCATAAATACAGAGAACAAACTAATGGTTGCTGGTGGGGGAGATCCTGGGCAAAATGGGTGAAGGGGAGTGGGTGATGCCTGCTTTCAGTTATGAAATGAAGACATGGGGATAAAAAGTACAGCAGAGGGAATTTAATCAATGGTATTGTAACAGCATTGCATGGGGACAGATGGTAGCTACACTTGTGGTGAGCAGAGCATGATGTATAAACTTGTCAAGTCACTATGTTGTGCACCAAAACCAATGTAACATTGTGTGTCACCTGTACGTCAGTAATTAAAAAAAAGAATAAAATGGTTCAAAAAATGAGTTTATTACTCTTGAATATTAAACTGCATCTGAAAAACATATGAACAATTCGGATCAAGCATAAGACATATAACTCAAATGTTACATACTTTCTTATAACAAATAAAATTAATTTGGTTGGTAGAATTTGCTTTTGTCCCTGTTTGCGTAAATCTCTGCCTTCCCTTCCCCTCATCTACTAAACTGCATCTCTTTTCATGGTTTCTGATATCAGTGAACAAATGACCCCCCAAGCACTTCTCACCTGCAATCAAAACATTACTTTCCTTCATAGATTTCCATGGAAACAAAGCCATAGGGAAAGGGAAAGGGGTGGCTGGGGAGGGAAAGGGAGCAGGGAGGATGGGAGGAAGACAGGCTTGTTGTGATATTTCCTCTGGACCTTAGGCACCTTGTGTGCACCTTGATTGCTTTACTTTCTTTATCATTTTAATCTCACCCATGACTATGTGTGCTTCTCTTCTAAACAAAACTCCATATTTAAGGTTGTTTTTTGGCCACTCGTTCTCATGTATATATAGGTAGAATGAAAAGACATAGGATTCCTTATTATCTGTATTTGATTTAGCCACTATTCTCCCCTTAGAATTTTGCTTCTGTTGCTGGTCTCCTTTCTCTCTGTTCCTGTTCCACCCCACTCTTCACTTTGCCCATAACCATTTAGATTTATTATCAGTTCCTTGCCTTTTTGTTTGATTTGATCTTCAGTTCATGGTCTATGCCGAAATTTGATTCATGAGTCTTCTTTCTTTATCCCGTCTGATTTCATTCCGTGATACCTTGCCCCCACTTGTGATTTCTCTGCTATCTCCTGTCTCATTTCCTTCAACAGCTTCAATAAAATGTATGGCTTCTTCTTCCATTTGCTCTAATCACTTTTAGGCAGTCATTATGCTTAAATATTTAGCCTCTGTTGATTTTCACTTGCACATCACCTTTTAGTTAAGACTGTGATGTCAAATATCCTTTATAGCTTTTTTATTCCTCTTTTTTCCTTGTCATGCTTCTTTGCTCCTGCATAGAATTTCCCCAGAAATTTTCCTGGAGTGACTTTCTAAGATCTGCCTCTATTTTTTTTTCCTTTGTAGGCTATAGGCTTTCCATTTCAGTGCTTAATATTTTTTCCTCTTCCTCCGCTACGTTAACTATCACTTCTCTCATTCCCCTCTCTCCTTTTACTCACTAATGAGCATAATTGCTGATTCTTAATACAATATTTGGATTTAAGGAAGCTGATGAGATGGAGGACAAGGAGGTTTTCAGCAGCAGCTGCTCTAAAATTTCTGTTACACTGAGGTAACCCTGAACAGAAAGCAGAAAATGTTACTTAGGTAATATATGAAAGACCAATATGCTAAGAAAGCAAAATGTTAGCCTTATAAGAACTGTGGCCATGAGATTGTTAAGGAGTAAAGGTGAATGCCGGCGTGTCTGAATTTGGGAAGGTGGTGTAGTAAAGAGCTTTGCTACTCAGAGTGTGGTTTGTGGAATAGCCCCCTTGACAGCAACTAGATGCTTGTTAGAAATGCAGGATTTTTGGTTCCATCTCATATCTACACAATCAAATCTGCATTTTTAACTGATATTTGCACATTACAGTTTGAAAGCACTGGTATGGAGTAAAGCATCCTTAAAATTCAGGTCAAGTTCAGTTTAGCACTCCCTAGGCAAATTTGAAGTTAGTGACTTGACCTCTTTGAATTTCTGTTTACTCACTCATGAGCTGTGAGTAATAATAGCTAACCTTTAAAGTTGTTGTAGGGAATAGAAATAATGTACAATTCTTGTAGCAGACAATAAATAGTAATGGCTCTACTTGTGGATTTCCTAAAAGACAGAACAGGGAGGGGATTTTAGGGGATGTAGTGTGACTACATTTTAAGTTTAGAGTCATGAAAAGGAGAAAATACCTGTGTCCAAAAATATTCCCATTTTTCTCTCTGCTGTCTGAAACAAAACCCCACATTTCTCAAACCGTATAGATGAAAGCTTAGTTATTTTGTGAATTATAAAGGCATCAACCCATAAGCAAATGTTTAAAATTGTGGATATAAACCAGAAAAATGGATTAAATTGGATTAAATGTTCATTCACCCTTGATACTGTGTCAAGAACTTCGCCTTTGTAACAAAAGTAATGATCGGACTTGGTTTTGAGTCTCAGTTTGCTGACTAATTCTGTATGCTTGGCCAAGTCACAGACCTTTTGGGGGCCTCAATTTTCTCGTCTGTAATATGCAGGAAATAATAATTCAGACGGTTGCTTTGAGAATCAAATACAAATAATGTGATAGATTTATTATGGATTTAATCTCCCATTCATCCACCAATTCATTCAACCAACATTTACCAGCTGCCCATTATGTTCTGGGCACTGGGAAGGGCACCAGACTTCTAAACGTGAAGCAGACATAGTCCTTCTCCCGAGGCACTCACTCTCTTCAAAAGAAGATATGTAAAACCTAGCTCTGACCAAGAAGTAGTGAACACAGAATAAATATCAGGCACCATACTAGACACACAATGGTATTTACTTGTTTCTCAGGACAACTGAGGCTTCGTGAGGCTAAGTAACCTCTCAAAGGCATGCAGTTAGGCAGCGGCAGACACGAAATACAGTAAAGCCTCCTTGTATAAGCTTTGGGCGAGCACTATGCAAAAGGTAGCTGCTATGATCCTGGCAGAGGGCAGAATTCAGAACGAGATTGCTTTATTGGAAACTCCCTTGCCCTTGGGATTCCCTGTTCTGCATCTTTTCCTGAGAAAAGAATTCCTTCCACTCTGTGCTGTTTCTCTTGTACAGATGCATCCCAGCTGGAGCTGAGACTGAGACGTCACCTGCAGAATACTGAGTCTCACTCACCTTCCATCCCCATTAAAAAAAAAAAAAATTCTGCGGTTACATTTCATGCACCTTTTAACTCTCCAGTGGCCATTTGGTCTATGCTGTTTCTGTTTTGTGGATACATTTATTTTATGTGTTATTTCCCCTTAAATTTTAAGGACATGTATCTTCATGAAAAGAACAAAGGAAGAAAAACAACTTGTAAATTATCACAAGAAAAACCCCTGCTAAAAACAATAAGTTTGCTGACAGATGGCAGAATCAGTTGAAAAGCGAGTACCATATTTACTAAGTCTAACCCATTTAGTAAGCCAAAAAAGTGTTATCTAATTCTATCCCCTGTGTATGTGTGTGTTTTGGAGTAAACAGATGCCTAATGAGGAATGTGTCTAGTGTAGTTTTGAAGGAACCTGGATAAACCCAGGTTCTGATTTCGGGTTTGATTTTGACAAATATATAAGTGTACAAAGTCAAATCTATTGTAAATAAAGTTGTCAGAGCAAAAACAGCATTAAAATGCTGTCAAAGCAACATTATTTTTTAAAAACAACACACCCTAGAATTATTGTACCACATAAATTTGCTTTTAGAAATCTATTATTTATACAGTTTTATAACAACTACAAAGTACTTAAAAGGAGGACACATGCCCTGTCATCATTAGAAAACCTGGATGCGTGCCCGGCCAGTATAACAAGTCTGAATATTATCAAGCTTTTTATAAAACGGTATTAAACAAAGTGGAAATAACTCATCGAGAC